TTGGAAAGGTGTAATGCGTTAGGACATTTCAATGGAATTTCAATTTTTGCACTGTTTTTATAGCTGTTCTATGAAACCGGCATTTGTAAAATTTGTTCTGCTTTTATGATAAAAACAAATTTTTTTTTAAAAATGTCCGCGATATTGGAACCGACATTTTGAATTTTTAAAAACAGACATCCTTTGTCATCAGCAACCCCGAAAACCCCCGAGTGATAATTTTCAAGAAAATCCAAAATTAAAAAAAGAAATATCCGACTTAATGGACCCTCCATTTTGAATTTTGAAAAACTGACATCATATTCGTAATCAGCGAACTCGAAAACCCCCTGAGTGAAAAATTTCAGGTAAATTGGATCAATTTTTAAAAATCCGTCCGCCATATTGGATCCGCCATTTTGAATTCTGAAATACCGACATCAGATTCGTAATCAGCGACCCCGAAAACCCCTGAGTAACAAGTTTCAGCCAAATTAGACGATTTTTTATTCTTGGCATTCTGAGCACATTTAGTGTTTTTCAGCCGGAAGTTAAGGGGTTAATATAATATTTTTACAAGATTAATGATTAGGTACAATTTTATTGTGTCATTTAAAGAAAAAGAATAGATATTAATCTTATTTAAAATTTTTTGACAGTCTTTATTATGAAAAAATTGATGCAATATTCAAATTTTCATTTCGACAATTACACAATTGAACCGCCGGATCGTAGAAGGGCATATAGCCAATGTAATTCAAATGGGCTATATGCCCTTCTACGATCCGGCGGTTCAATTACACCTCCATTTTTAAAATAAGGATTTTTTTGGAAATGAACAAAAAAATGGGCTTTTTTTTTATTTTTCTAAAGAACCATTGAAATCTAACAGTTAAATTATCGATAAATTAATGAAAACCGCAAATTCCTGGTAATGAGAAAATTATAAAAAAAACATGTTTCCTGACATGAATTTTTAGGGAAATAAGAATTTAATAAAAGTGAAGAAAATTTTAATTTACTTAAAATAAGAAAACCTTTTCATTTTTACAACTCTTTTTACTTCACTTATTTTATATTTCGACTGACTCGATTATAAGATTGCAAACTTTTTTTATATAAAGATATTAGTGCACCAATTGAATCCTTTGCGACAACGCCATCGAATTACGAAAAAAGTAGCCATGATTCCTCGAAACGTCCAGAAAAGAAGAAAGTGCAAGAAAATTTGATATCTGCATTGCAAGCCTTATCGACCAAGACAGAAAGTCTGGTATTTCAATAATTATAGAAAAACTTACTATTTACATGAAGAGAATAATTTAAGAAGGCAACCAGTCAAATTTTAACTTATTGAAATTATTGCTGTTTGCCCCATACGCTCATTTTGAGAATAAATGTTAGTTTAAAAATAAGGTATACTGCACATGGTTGTTTTGAATTTCTAAATAACAGTTTTGACAATCTCGCCATTTCGGATATATTGACATCTGGATGGTTTGTCCCACTCTCCCCAAATATTATAATATTATTTTAATTTTTAACCCATTAACGTCTGAAATAAGAAAATTCTTTGCGCAAATTCAACCTATACTTTTATGAATAAAACGGATTATATTTTATACCGCAATTATGTTTTTTATAGGTATTGAGTGTGCTCTCTTCGATTCCGGTGTAAAAAAAAGAATTTCGTTTAAAACAAAAATTAAATATAGCGGTTTTAATTTTAAAAACAAAAAAGAAATTTCATTTTCTCAAGTTTGGTTATTTTTTTACCCATTTACCCATCCAAATATTTGAATTCAGTAACCCCAAAAACATAAAATATAACATCTGGTATTAAAAAAAATAAAAAAATTTAGCATAGTTGTGGTACGAAAACTTTATTTTGACTACACTGCTAAGGAGTTAAACGTGCGTGAATAATATTCAATTCTCATCCATAGAGGCACAAAAATTGTATACTTTTAAAAAAAGTAAATTAGAATGTAAAATTTAAAGAAGGCGGACCAAATATGACCTAAAATATGAAGGAACCTTTGAAAGGGGTGGTCACTATTTTCCAAAATACCAAAATGTAATTAAATTCGCCTAAGTTTTCCTACTCGAAGGCCTTTGGGGTCGCTGATTACTAATTTAATGTTATTTTTAAGAAATTCAAGATAGCGGATTTAATATATAGAACAAATCTTTTTAAAATTTATGCAATTGACCTTAATTTTGTCACTCGGGAATTTTTGTGGTTGCTGATTACGAATTCGATTTTAGTTTCCCATAAATCAAAATGGCGGATCTAATATGGAACAGAATGTTTACTTTATGCAATTAATCTTAATTTTGTCACTCGGTGGTTTTTAGGGTCGCTGATTACGAATACGATGTTTGTTTTCAAAATTTCAAATGACTAATATAATAGGGGAAAGAGAAATTAAAAAAAATTCTATACACGCTCGCTGGTCGTAAATCGACGCAAGTGCTAAAATAATTGTCAGTTAGCGCTCCTATGACATTTACAGCTAAATTGCATAAATTTAAAAGAAAATTCTGCCATATTGAATACACCACTTTAAATTTATGAAAACTTACATCAAATTCGTAATCAGCGTCCCTAAAAACCACCGAGTAACAAAATTAAGGTCAATTGCATAAAGTAAAAATTTGTGTTCCATATTGGATGGGGGAGGGTCAAAAATTAATAAAAAATTGTCCTCGTGGTTTATGGACGGCTTATACCTCGACTTATATTATGACAAAACCTCTGGCAACACAGTATTTCTTTAGTCGTGTTGCAAATGCTTGGTATGACTTGTTTACATTTAGTTTTGAGTAGACAATTGTGTGCAATGTTTCCACATGTTTAAAAAGCTGTTCAATAGACTGTATAAAACATGAAATTGTTTTACAAATTAATTTATTGCAACTCTCACAGGTACCAAATGACACTTTTTTAACAGATATTTAACCATTATATATCTGTCTCCTATTAAAAAATGTTTTATTAATTTCCTAATGTTAAGTATTTTGTGGTGAGTAAATATGTTTGAAAATGTACTCAATTCCCACAAAACTTAATGTTAAAAGTTAAAAACAAAGACGCTTATAACTTTTTTCACAAGTACCCACAGGTCTAAAAAATTTAACTACATTTTTTAAAAACTTTTATCTAACAGTGGTACAAAGTTCAACAAATTGGTAATGTTAATTCTTTTTGCGAAAAAACCTTTCTATTATCTTGAGAAAATCTGTAATTGCCTTAACGTTTTATAAACATTTTACAATATAGCTCAGTGTGTTAAATTTAATTTTTGCAACACTAACCTGTAAAATTGAATTTTACACACAGAAAGTTGTAAAGTTCTTCTTTTTATAGCGGTGTGTAAAGTGATTTTCAGTGCGTAAAAAGGTTACTTTACGCATTTGTGCGACTGTTTGATGAGAGACAATGAAATAATGCTTTTAATTAACAATTTACAATCACATTTTTTTATTTTAGCTTCTAGAAAACTTCATTTAACAGTTCCCCACTACACCTAAAGTTACAGTAATATTGGCAATATTGCTGCAAGTTTAGTTGTTTTTAGTGTTGCAAAAAATGTTGTATGGCACTCGTGCGTAAATCAGATTATACTTGTGTGACTTGCAGCACTCGCTTTCGGCTCGAGCTGCAAACGTCACACTCGTATAATCAACGATTTTACGCACTTGTATCATAAATAACTATTTTGGTTTTCGTGTTTTATGTTTTTTTAATTCTTCAAAAAAAATTGTAATCTTTTTCCAATATTTCAGAAGAAGAAAAAAACGGATCATAAGGTCTTATTCACATTTTTATATACACACAATAAAATAAGGTCTTGAGTATCATAAGACAGAAACAAAAATATCGCGCGCGCTTTAGCACGCGTAGCTCTGCTAGTGAAAAATAAAGAGACACGTATTTTTGTTTATTTTTCAAAAAAGATAAATTTAAAGAAGTTACGCACATTTGAACTTTGAGTGGTAAAACTCGAATGAATAGTGAAAAAAATTGTTTTGCTTGTCATTTTTTTTCTTTTCAGTATAATTTAATTTTCTTTCTTGAGTCTTGTAGATGGTCTTGTTCTCTTCAAAATCTAGTTTGAAATTTGAAAAAATATTTAAAATTATAATAATAGGGAATGATTTTCTGAAAATAAATAAGATCAATTTTCTCAAAAACACCACCTTTTTTCTATCCTTTTTCTACAAGTTCTTAAAATAATTATGAACATTTCCTATGAATTTCAAGCGGGCTAAACCATTTTGGCAATCAGGAGAATTTTTTTTTGAAATGTTTATTTTCACAAATTTTCAAATTGTTAACGTTCACTTCAACAATGTTATAGTGATTCATTTGTTTTTAAAAATGCAAGTTAACAATTTAAAAATTTGCGAAAATAAATATTTCAAAAAAAATTCTCCTGATTGCCAGAATGTTTTAGCCCGCTTGAAATTCATAGGAAATGTTCATAATTATTTTAAGAACTTGTAGTAAAAATTTGAATAGAAAAAAAGGTGGTGTTTTTGAGAAAATTGATCTTATTTATTTTCAGAAAATCATCCCCTATTTTTATAATTTAAAATATTTTTTCAAATTTCAAACTGCATTTTGAAGAGGACAAGACCATCTACAAGACTCAAGAAAGAAAATTAAATTATACTGAAAAGAAAAAAAATGCAAGCAAAAAAATTTTTTTTTCACTATTCATTCGAGTTTTACCACTCAAAATTCAAATGTGCGTAACTTCTTTAAATTTATCTTTTTTGAAAAATAAGAAAATACGTGTCTCTTTATTTTTCATGTAAAATAACATATTTTAGCGACAGCTAAATCTATAACTTGAAGTTAGTCGACCTGCCTGATTTGAAATGGATTCAGTCATTATATATTATATATAATTTTTTTTCTGCTCTCCAAGATATGAGTTGGGTTTCTCCGCCTAGTGGATGTCTACTAGGTGCCAAAGCTCCTCGTAAGGGGGAAAAGGAGTCGGTGAAGTGCCATGTTTGTGCTTCCGCCCCACCGTAGCACTATAATAATAGTTGGACCAGTAAATACAAGAGCCTCGGATAACTCAAATGGTGGGTCCACTGATCCGCCAAACCCAACTATTGATGATTCTATTCCCGAAAGATTCCCCTGCGAGTTTGAAGGATGCGATAAGGCATATCGGTCACGAGGAGGGCTGAAGCTTCATATGCGGACGCACGCGTTGGAGATTCCTGTCGCACCTGAAGAATTTCCTTGTGAAATTATGGGTTGTGGGTTAAGGTTTCCAACGCGGATTGGCCTCGGACAGCATATACGCCATCGACATCCGGAGAACATGGACGAACGAGTTAACTTCAGGCGTGTGAAGGAGAGATGGACGGTGGAGGAATCCAGAATGTTTGCGAGAAGGGAGGCTGAGTTTTTGGTCAGGTGGGAGCGAGACGGAAGAGCGGGGTTCATAAATGCAGTGTTGCAAGCGGAATTTCCGCATAGGATCTTGGAGGCTATTAAAGGACGAAGAAGGTGTACGGGTCATAAAAGGATGGTGGAAGACATGAGTGAAGAGAAGGGGTATGGTGGTGATCGAAGACACTCACCATGGAAAATGATGTATGAATGATTCGCGAGCTGTATCGCATTGGGAACGATGCAGCGGTAGTTTTCAAGGATACCTCGCTTGCGAGATTGAGCCTATATCTCAACTCCATCTGTCCGGGAGCTTGGCGTCTATTGAGGGAAGTGCTTGTTCGCAATAGGCAAGAATTATCTCGAAGAGAGGATCGTCGGCGTAAATATGCAGAGACTCAGGTTATTTAGGTTAAGAATCGGAAGAGGTGCATTGATACCTTCTGGAAGGATGTACTTACACAGGCTTCCGATTCTAAACCGGATTTATATATTCATGAGGAAGAAATGTGGGGAGTCAACACAATGCCTGCATGCGTCGCGAACGATCTTCATTCCAAAGAGGGGGTTTGAGGATGTGCCTGAAAAGTACAGGCCAATCACAGTACCATCAGTGATTGTGAGGGGATTTCTTAAAATCCACGCCGAGAGATTGGCTAGGACATTTGACTTTGACGATCGACAGAGGAAATTCAGGCCTGTGGATGGCTTTAGGTATAACACCTTTTTGTTAGACATGATCCTGAGGCAGCATTATTTGCAGCATAAGCCTCTCTATATGGCTCCTGTCGATATTACCAAGGCCTTTCCCTCGGTGTCGCATCCTTCCCTTATAGAATGTATGAGATCGTTCAATGTCCCGGTCAAATTTGAGGACTATGTCGCGGGTGTTTATCGCGATGGTTACACGATTCTGCAGGGGCAGGGCTGGACTACGGTGAGGATTTACCCTAAATAGGGTGTCCGACAAGGGGATCATCTGTCAAATAACATTGACAAAAGTTTCACACAGGGTCTAATAATATGGCTTTCGTTAATAAAGAATGTTCGCAGGGCTCAGTTCAGGGCCCTGTATTGTGGAACATCGTATTTAATGTTTGCAATGTTTGCTGCTCTAAAAAGGGTAGCAAAAAGAGAATGGGAACTTGGCTTTAAGGCATTAAGAGTTATTTCTGAGGGCCTCTTCCTGACTATGATAACTTATGCAGCTTCGAGTTGAAGAAACAGGATAAATATCAGAAAAGTGATTAAAAGCTAAACAATGGCATTGTTCTCGGGAAACGTTAGACACGTTGCAGACTAGAGAGAGAGAAAATATACTGCTTTCCTTACTGGTGAAATTTAAATTGTATTGGTGAAACGAATCGGTAGCGTCTTTGAAGGGTATATAAACATCGAAATCAAAGGCTTCGCTCTCTCATTTCTATTCCATATCTTGAAAGAGTAAGCAAGAATACTTTATCATATAAATACACTATATCAGATTATATACTTAAAATACTCAGAAATTTGTTGTTCTGCAACTTAGTACCTGGTAATTTCATCAAATTTTAATAAAATATCTTACCGTGCAGTGGGCTATTAAATCAAAATAAAGGAAAAATATATAGATATATACTTCCCTCGGTCTGTTAACGAATACACGTATGTTTCAACTGGTACCCCTGGTTTGTTTGCTTTCTATATGAAGGACTTATAAATTAATAAATTATAATTTAATAATTATATAATATATATATTATATTATTATAATAATATTATATATTATATAATATAATTATATTTATATAATTATTATATTATTAATATTAATATTATATAATATTATTATTATATTATTTTTGGTTTGCTAAAGGCGTCACTTGACACATTAACAGAAGCTCCTCTCAAACCGCAACAAAGGCTTTGGGCTTTGAGAAATATTATTTTACCATCTTATCAATATCAATTGTCTATGGGAGAAACCACGTTAGGTTATCTTAGGACAATTGACAGAATAGTTCGCAATTATATTAGAACTTGGCTTCATCTTCCAGGTGATTGCCCGAATGCTTACATACACACAAGTGTAAAGGATGGTAGTTTAGGGGTGCGTGCGTGTCGTTGGGCAGCACCATTAGAAAGAGTCATTCGACTTAGAAAGTTGCTTGAGATTTTTGTCGAAAGTGGCAGAATATCTGACTCCTTCATAGGAGAACAGATATACAAAGCCGAGTATCGGCTTAGAACCTGCAATAACATCTCTCTAACATCTACGCAGGGAATGGAAGCATGGTGGGCTTCTAAACTATACAAGTCAGTCGATGGGGGATCTTTAAGAGATTCACGGAAGGTCATTGGGCAACACAATTGGGTTGCTGATGGTACTCGATTCCTCACTGGTAGAGACTTCATAAACTCTATTAAGTTGAGAATCGGTGCTATTCCGACAAGATCTCGAACTTCTCGTTGTCAGAGGAAAGAACGTATCTGTCGTGCTAGATGTAATGTTCCAGAAACCGCAAATCATGCTCTCCAACGCTGTCACCGTACCCATGATATGCGAATCCGGAGACATAATGCTCTTGTAGAGTACGTGGCAAGGAAGCTGCGTAAATCCAACTTTTCAGTTGAAATTGAACATCAATACCTAACGTCATCAGGTATTAGAAAGCCAGATATCGTAGCTATCTTAGGTAGGAAATGTTTGGTACTCGATGCTCAGGTTGTTTCCGAATAAACTGATTTACATCGAGCAGATTCTCTGAAGGTTGGGAAATATAAGAGGGATTGTAACCTGGTCGAAGTCATAAAGAGTTCTTCTAAAGTAATAGGTCTGAGTGTGGATGTATTTTCAATCACACTCAATTGGAGAGGAATTTGGAGTTTGTCATCTGCCTCCAATCTTGTAAGGTGTGGTGCCATTTGTAAAGGAGACTTGAAGGTTCTGTCCAGTAGAGTTCTCCTAGGAAGCCAGATGGCGTGGAATTTCTTCAACCGCTCAACATCGGTCCTACATCGAAGACGGAGGTGAACCGGATGACGTCTCGAGGAAGGAGCTAGCTACTGGGTTTCTCGGATGAACCTAGTATAATGTGTTACAAATTATGTATTATTAAAAGAAAAGAAAAATAGCCAAATGCCTTGTCATCTAATTAGTGACGCGCATGAATGGATTCGCAAGATTCCCGCTGTTCCTATCTACTCTCTGGCTGGTCTACTAGCTTGGGGTCTGCCCTAGTGGTGGCACACTTGCAAGGATGACCTCGCAGGACATAAGGAGTTTATATGCTTTAACTCTGAGTCAGACCAGCTCAACTGTGTTAAAAAAATTTCATTGATTTTCTGAAATGTTAAAACTTTTATGAAAATCGGTAGTTCACAACAAAACAAAAAAAACACTTTTAACTGTTTTTTGAAATTTTAAATTTTTGTTATTGTTTTTGCATTAACAAAATAATACAAAATTTTAAAAAAAATTAATAACTCAAAAACCGTTTACAATAAATTAATGAAACTTACACTGATTATACAAAATTGTTCACTCTTTTAAAAGAAAATATTTGCAAGATTGTAAATTTAAAAATTCCATATTTTTAATAACAATTATATAAACAATTTAATTATTTACGTGTTCTACCCCTCCAATTGCAATGAAACTCATAGGAAGTGTACTCAGTAGTCTCTTCTTGAAGCCCAAAAAAAAATTTTGGTATTTTCAATTTGGAATGTACATAACGAATTTTTTATTAAAAACGCGTGTCAACTCCACAGTGGAAAAAAGTTGATTGTCATGGACAATTCAGTCTAGAGGTTACAAATATTATTTGTTTTCAATAATTTTTTTTTAAATGAAAGTTTATAATATTGCGCACCGATCAGATCAAATCTGATATCTTAACTTAAAAAAATATGAATGCTACACATTTGTTAACTAATATTTTGTAAATTTTTTTCTCCGTTGTTCAGATATATTGTTAAATAAAAATTTTTTTTAAAACAGTTTTCAAAATTCTACCGCCACAGATTTGTGCGCAATTTTATAAACTTTCATTTAAAAAAAATTAATAAAAACAAATAATATTTGTAACCTCTAGACTGAATTGTCCATGACAATCAACTTTTTTCCACTGTGGAGTTGGCACGCGTTTTTAATAAAAAATTCGTTATGTACATTCCAAATTAAAAATACCAAAAATTTTTTTTTGGGGCTTCAAGAAGAGACTACTGAGTACACTTCCTATGAGTTTCATTGCAATTGGAGGGGTAGAACACGTAAATAATTGAAATTGTTTATAAAATTGTTATTAAAAATATGGAATTTTTAAATTTACAATCTTGCAAATATTTTCTTTTAAAAGAGTGAACAATTTTGTGTAATCAGTGTTAGTTTCATTAATTTATTGTAAACGGTTTTTGAGTTATTAATTTTTTTTAAAAATTTTGTATTATTTTGTTAATGCAAAAACAATAACAAAAATTTGAAATTTCAAAAAACAGTTAAAAGTGTTTTTTTTGTTTTGTTGTGAACTACCGATTTTGATAAAAGTTTTAACATTTTTGAAAATCAATGAAATTTTTTTAACACAGTTGAGCTGGTCTGACCCCTCTTGAAACGTTCGGCTGAGTGAATCTGTAGATCAGAGGCATTGCTCATGCCACAGAGCGCGTCCATAGGTTGTGGATAATGGAAAGCATCCCTAGTGGATGTATCTGCTTAATGCAGACGCGAACAAGAGCAAGGAAGGAAAGAAAGAAAGATAGAGAAATAAGAATGGATAATAAAGATATATCGGTCCCCTGTGTATGAGGGGATGGTGTGAATAATCTACTCAGCAGCTTCTTGTTGCTGACCAGTGGTGAGATGTTGTTGTTGTTATTGTTGAACGAAGTTGTTGGTTTCATTTTCGTGGAGGCAACTCGTTGCTGCTCTGAATAAGCACCTCCGGACAGCCGGACTGGGGTTGGTTGAAACAACGCTGCTCAACCCCTAATTACCGTAAAACTTATGTGTAAATCAACGACCCTAATTCAAGCTAGTGTTATATGGGAACGATGTGCACATAAGTAGCGGGGGCTTGGCTTAATTGCACGGCTGCGAGGTGGGGTCCTCTATATTACCCCCCTAATCCTAAGTTTGAGCCACGTGACGATGGGATGAATGGTCGAGGTTACCGGCAACAAGCGTGATAAGCTGACAATTTTGAACGATTTGAAAATTTTATTCTTTTTCTC